TTCATACACAGTTAAAGAAAGACAAATAAAAATATTTATTGTCAGTAAACCCACTGCTTTGTTTCACTCACTCATTGGAAAACTCTTATAATTTGTTTCTCTTTCATAGTTACCAGTTCAAAAGGGACAATTTGTAATTTTCGCTACAAACAGATCTTACAGAACGTGATCCTCGGGCTAAGGGAATCTACCCTGCTCTAACGCTAAGCCCCAAGCAAGCTGCAAGGTTGATGACAATCATATTATTAAGGTAGTTGGAATACTGTGCTAGTAAAAGAGTCAACAACTAGGGTAAATACTGCCCCTGGAGCTACAGCAGAATGGAATGTGGGGAAGTTTCACCTACACCTTGCTGTACTTACCATGCAAATTATGATTATGATTCAAGCAGAGGGATGTATTTTTTTTAAAGGACAGTAAAAACAACCATCCGCATTACAGAATAATTTACTGAAAGTAAACAGAACTGCATACGAAAAAAGCGCCTATAAATCACAAGCCTGCTTGATTAGGCTCAGTGAAACAGAAGATTCTTGGTGAGGCAAATATGTTCACATGTATTAGTTAAAAATGTTAATAGCCTAATTACTAATTTAAAAAAGTAATTATTTAACTGCTTCTCCTGTATCCTCTCTTCCTCCAAGTTAACTGTCTTTTTAAATACAGTATTGAATTTTTATCTACTTTCTTTATAACCAAGACAAATCCTTTATCTTGAATATAACCGATGTGTAAAATTTACTGCATGAAATTTATAGCAGAAATGTGCTGGACTTAAAAGAATATTTTTACAGATAGACTCAAGTCATTCTACATCCCCCTCAAAAGAAGAGTAAGGTGAACCTGAGTGAGGCCTTGAATTATGCCTTTTGTTATCTGTCCTACTGCCCTGAGATAGTGAACCAAAACAGAGTTGATAACTTAGGGGTGACATCACAACCCAGTCTTCATGAACTGTCATGAACACTTGGTATTAACTTAACCCTACAGATAAAGGACAACTCTCCTAACAATAAAACATACTTAAAAAAAAAAAGAAAAATCTGTTTAAGAATCAAATTTTAATTCAGGAATACCAAAAGGCTACCTTTTCAATGCATTCAGAGTCCTTCTTCATTTTATACAAGCAGTAGACCTAAAGCTAACAAACACTTTACTCAGCTATAAACTGTTTACAGTATTTGGAACAGCAGCCATTAAGTCAGATACAGATTTTAAGCCCAACAGTCCACCATTTAAATGCATAAATATATTAATCAACCCAAAAGACTAAAAAAAAGGAAACTGAATCATTTTTAATGGTTTAGTTTAATTTTTATAGCTGCTAAAAGAGTTTATTAAAACAAACAAGCAGCATATTTCTGAAGTTATTATGCCATTACAGCAGGGGCAGGCATATTAATTATTTCGGGTAGAGGGCCGCTTAGTGAATTTGGGCCAGCCATCGAGGGCTGCATGACAGGCAGCCAAGGGCAGAAAAATATTAGTTTTCTAAATTTTGGGGGGCCCTGCAGGCTGGATAGAATGGCCTGGCGGGCTGCATCTGGCCCATGGGCCACATCTTGCCCACCCCTGCATTACAGTCTGTCCCAGGACATGAGAAAAGGTTTTAGACTGAAGAATCCGGTACATCAGCTCTACGTCTCTGCTTCATGAAATCTCATGTATGTGGTTAAACAATTTAAGAAATCTTGTGACAGCACCTGGTCCTGGATGAGGGCTGTTATTTAATCCAGCTAAGCACCACTATGTTGGTAGGCTGAAGACAACAACCATAAGGAATAAGGGAAATGATATCGACTCTCTTTTTGCAAACTTGGTTGCCTTCTGCTATTAAGCTTTCCAACTTAAGGATCTTATTGCATTTCAAGCTATTTCAAGATGGCCATTGTTGGTGACCCCTTGGAAAAGTATCTTTTATTACCTAGGTTTGGCTAGGGGAGCACAACAATTTCTCTTCCATGAAGATCTCATCATGGTGCCTGTATTACCAAATGGATTATTACAAAGCACTTTAACATGAGATTGTACTTTAAAACTGATCTGAAGCTTCAGAACAACAACACAGTTGCACTCTGAACTAAGCACTCTCTCATTACAAACACATTATATGTATCCATGATCTGATCTTAATCTACTGTATTTGCTCACATATCACACACACCTCTTCTCTAGCAATCAGCCCTCCAAAACTGGGGGGGGGGGGGGTTTTAAAAAGGGAAGCTGATTTCCCCCCCTGGAATAGCATGGAGGAATAGAAGCATGGAGACCGCTATGATGTGATGGCTGCCACTTCTCTCCAGCCCAGCAAACAGCAGGGGCAGTGGTCAGCTTTAACCCTGTCCCTGCCACTGCCATACTGGTGGTAAGTTTTTGTGGCATGCAAGAAAATAAAGGGAGTAACAAATAATGAGAACCAGCTAGTTTAAACTGCTGCTCTTCTTATGTTATACTACAGCAGTTCAGATAATCCAACATGTCAACACTAACAGACCTTTTTTACATGGGAATGAGCCAAAGGCAAAGGGTCAAATTCTATATTCAGTCCTGCTTTCCAGCAAAAAAGAGGCTGAAAATTGCCTTAACTGGCCAGTGAAGGATTCTTCCATGGAAAAAAGACTGTTATAGTGTCTCCTATACAATCTCTTTTCTGGAATAGCATAGCGGGTCTAGCTGAAGGACCATTTATGGTTGTTCTATCTCAATGGTGGCTCAATCTTTTGGTGCCATGGGCCAGTTGAGTGACATGGGCTCTGCCCTTCCCTCCTTGGCCCTGTGCTACCAGCTAGACTGGGGCCCCATGCTGCCTCCCTCAGCCACCAGATTGGGAGTCTCCACACCACCTCCCTCAGCCCCATGCTATCTCCCTCAGTACTGCACTCCTGGATCATGGTCCCATGACACCAGATCATAGCCATGTGCCACCTCCCTCAGCCCTGTACTGCAGGATTGGGTCCCACACATCCGCTAGCTGGCTGCCGTTGCGCCCATATTGGGCCAGGCCACCTCTGTACATCAATCCAGCATGCTACCTGACCTGCAAAGCTCCCCACAGGTCCAGACATTTGACAGAAGGAAAGCAGCAATTGCTGCCACTGCTGTCAAATTTTAGAGCAGGCAGGGAGCCCTGTGGGCTTCATGACAGGGCTCCATGAGCTAGATCTGGCCTGTAAGCTGGGGTTGAGCACCCCTGTTCTGTCTTTGGGGGCGGGAAAGGGGAGAGCAGAACACCAAAATGGCACCTGGATTCACAAAATGCAAAGATGGATTAATTCCACTTTTTGCCTGCTCCCTCTGGAAGCAGAACGTTGCTAACCTGGATGCCAAAGTGTTTTCTGTGAAGATCTCTTGCTTCAAAATTCTCTTCCCTTTCTGGTTCGATAAAGCCTAAATTTTTGTTGATCTTATGGCTATAGAGTAATAGCCATATGTTCTCCAAGAGCTTTTCACAGAGGGAGGTGAACTGAAGTGATGGGACTAGGATGATGACAGAACAGAGTGGCTTTGGGATAGAGCAATTGGAAGGGTATTTGTACTTAATTTTAGGTTCAACATGCTTATTATTTATCTTTCATTAATTAGTTTTGTACATGTACCCCCTGCTCTAAGCAGATGAATTTTACATAAACTGAACTGAGATTTGATTTGATTCATTCTCAAATTGTTTGTGACTTGCTTAATTAGGCCTGATCCTGAGCCCTGCTGGGCTTAGGTGCACTGCAGTGCCTGCACGGTATACCAGTACAGCTACGTGGAACTCAATACAGGATAGCAGCCCAACCACACTATTCATTCAAGTTGCAGATTTTGAGGTTAGATTGTGGCAATTAAATATATAATTGTAGAAAGTGCTACTACTACTAGCATTTTCTGAGAACACTGCATTTCCCATCTACCCTTCAATTTCCATTTTGGCTCAATGGAATTTAAACTAGTCTTTATACAGTATATGTTCTCTGACATCTGAAAGATCATACAATGGGAAAATTCACTTTTTAAAACTTTGTAATTGTGTGCCTGCAGATCTTTGAAAAGCTGACCTGAATTTAGTTTCTAGAACTACATCCAAATCCTGTTCCCATGCAAACTAAAGTAATGGTTCATTCATTCTACAGTACAATTAGTAAGGCTGAGTTACCAATGTGGAAAATCTGTCAGACAAAAGGCTTTATATAGTACTGCTTAAAAGAAATAAAAAGATTTTCAGTAAGCGAGTTTTAATAAAAGGTTCAAACTTTTGAAAGGCAAATATAAACTAGGATGCAGGATGGTTTAAAGTGATAATCGCTTGCAGCCTGACTTTACCACTGGTTTACCTGTCAACGTTTAAAGCGATTTTCAAACTCTCAGAAATTTAAAATAAAAGAACACCTGGATATTTATATCCATTCATTCATTACATTCATTTCTGTAACCAAACACAACATTTGTTCATTTCAGCAGACTATACAGACACCAGGAGAAAATTACAGTATGGGCAGTAGCCTAAATCTGTAATATAAATGCTATTTTGAGTTGTGAGTTATTATTCACATAAAGAGCTGCTTCAAATCAGAGCTATTACAGTATACGCTCCCAAACCACTCTGTAACAAAGATGAATCTACCTATTACCAGGTTAGGATAGCAGCTATTATCATGGCCCCTTGATTTCTTTCAAGTAGCTCCAATGGAATAAGCCACAAGTGAATACTAAAGATCTTATAATAGCCCTTAAGAATTTTTTATTGTGCAGAAGGCACAGAAATGAACTCTGGAGAGTTAAAGAACCCTCATCTCCTGATAAGAAAAATAATTAACCTGACTTAATGTATCTAAGTAGGCCTTATATAAATCAGCCTTTTGTACTTCAAGAGCCAGATTAAAACCATATATCAAAAAAGTATGTAGATATTGTCTCATAAGTACACATGGAACATATCTAAATCTGCAAAGGTCTGTAGGTCTTTTTGTGAAATGCTCAATGTATCCTACTTAAAAGGAGACCTGTGAAGTACTTACAGTGCTTAGTTTGCTAGAGGTAATAATGATCCGTCTCTCATGCAGCATACTGGCATAAAGTTGCAGCATGTTGTTTACATCCACAGCAACAAAATATTCAGTAAGATTTCTCTGTTTAAATAAATAAAGTAAATGTTAACAATATATTAACAGGGTAACTTAGTGAAACATTTTAGGTATTATTTACAGCAGTTTTTCACAATTCAATGGAAAAATCAATCCTGTCCAAACTACATCTGCGTATTAAATATCTGTATTCTTCAACAATGAATTCACTGCCATTTAAAACCTCAAGTATAATTACATTTGTTTGAGCGGTTCATTAATTTTGTGGTTTTATTACCCTTCTGGATCATGTGGAACTTTCTATTTTCCATAAATTTGGAAGCCTGAAAATACACAAATATATGCTAGTTCTGTTAAAAAGAGGCATTACATTTTAATATATGCATTTTAATTTTTTTGGTACAAATTCATCCTAATCCCCAGGTGAATATACACTAAAAATGAATCTACAGTGTCAAAGATGCACAGAAAAGCAGCAGAAGCATTAAAATAGATTTAACATCAACTCATAAACTGGTAACTTTTTCTTCAGTCTTGTGCAGCCCAAAATATTTCATACTTTAATTAACGTGAAATTGTACAGTACAGGCAGGTACCTAAATTTCACTGGCCGCTGCCCATTAGCAGTGTCTATTCAGGGCATACATGCATATCATAATGGCTTAAGGGTTTTGGTGGTAGCCGTGTTGGTCTAAGGACATAGGTAGACAAGGTTCTTTGGGTAAATGCCGTATCTTTTATTAGACTAAGTAAAAGATATCACATTTACCCAAAGAATCGTGTCTACTATAATGGCTAGCATCATAGGGTCTAGAGAATGCCATGATTGGCAAAGGATCCAAAATGGGGCTCACGTTGCCAGGCAGGATGACTTCTACTCTACCTTTTAAGTATATTCCCGGGGGATGCCCGATAACAGAGCTTTTACTGTACTTCAAACCGTTAACAAATGGCCAACAATACTATCCTAGGTATAAATCTATAATTGTGCTGTTAGGTGTTTGGTAATAAACATGCAGCAGAGAATATACTATAGATTGAGATGTTCCATTTGCAGGCCATAACAATGATCTGGTCACCACCATAGATTTGGATTCTACAGAATGTAAACATTCATTTAAGTAAAGAAAGTTATTAATACTAGCATAGTACAGGGTACTAGTAAGTACGGCTGTGCGAAGCTTCAGATGCTGATTTCATTCGGAGGAGATTCAGCAGCCAAATCTCCGAATTGAATCAGGAGACCAATTGAAAGTTCTGAATCAATTCAAAGCACTCTGAATCAATTTGGCAAAGATTTGGAGCGCTTTGGAGATTCAGGCAGTCCCCACTCACTGCCACAGGGAGCTGGACCCAGACTCCGTGCTAGTAAGTGTGGGGGGGGGGGCTGGAGGAAAGGGGAGGTGGACCATGGGGGGGACCAGTCAGGCCCCATCCCCTGCCTGCTCCCCCAGTGCCCCCAACGGCTGCCTCGTCCGCCCCAGCTCCTCACACACAGAAGCCTGTACTCACTGGCCGCTGCAGCATCCTCGGAGCTTCTGGGGGCTCATGTCAGAGCCCCCCATGCAGCACAGGACACTGTGTGGTAGTGGGAATCACCCCCCTGCCTGGCAGAAGCTGGTGAGTGGAGGCTCCCCCCCCCCAAAGAGCCAGGATCTGGGGCCAGGCAGGGCAGCCATTGACAGGGCTGGGAGAGCAGGCAGGTGATGGGGCCCATCTCATTCAGAGATTCAGCCAACCCGGTAGCAGCCAAATCTCCAAATCAGACACGGCCGAATCGATTCAGGACAGTGATTCGAATCACCAAATTCAATCACTGTCCCTGAAATCGGCTGAATCTGAATCCAAAATGAATACTAGCCACTTCGCACAGGCCTACTAGTAAGGTAAGATTCCAAATGTAAATAAAAATAGCAGTGATCTATATAGCTTGAAAGGGAAACACACACATATATATTCTCGAAACATAATCCTCATAAATGCATACATAAATTGGAAATTTACATATTCAAGACAGCAAAGGGAAGAAACACTGGTGATTAGATAAAAATTGCCTTGTATCATTTTTAACTACTGGACAATGCTGAATCCAATATACCATATTTGTTCAAATCTAAGACAACCCTGTATTTAAGACGATGCCCCCCACACCCCAATAATTAGATTCTATATTCAGAATTTTAAAAAAATATATGTTACAATTTTCCAGGTATAGAATCTAAGTATCAAAAGGCTGTCTTGAATTTGTCCCTGCCCTGCTATACCAGGGAGGGAAAGCAGTGGCTGGTGGAAGTGAGATAGCCCCCTTGCCCTATAGCCTTAGCCTTCCTGTTCCCTGATACCTACACCCTTAACCCTATCTCTTCCCAGTCTCTGCCCTCCCCCCAACTCCCTCAGTCTCTGCCCTCCCCTCCACTTCCCTCAGACTTCATCCCTTTCCCCTACTCTCACAGTCTCTGGCTCTTCCTCCCACCACTTCCCCCCAGGCTCTGTCTCTTTCCCTTAGCCCTTATAGTCAGATGGTGCTTGGGCTTTATACCCTCCTCAGAGCACAGCACACAGAAGTTCTTCTCTTGCTAGGCCATTCTGCAGCGATAGTGCTGCTGACTGCCTGGGCACAGGATGGAGTTCTCCATGCCCTGTGCCCAGAAGGAAATTTGGCCTGAGCTGGAGCTAAGCTGCACTTGACAGTAAAGTGGGGGGAAGTTGGCAGGATAGAAAATGCAGAAGGCAAGCATGGGGAGTGGGGGGCTGGCAGCAGCTGTGGGTCTGACTCTGACCCCAACCTGGGCTCCGGGACAATGTCAGAGCTACAGCAGACACCTGCCCCATCTCCACTTCATATGCAAATCTAAGATGAGGGGCTTTTTTTCCCCCATGCTTATTAGGGCAAAACCCCCTTTTCTTAGATTTGAGTAAACCTGGGGAGGGGCTGCAGTATTGTAGTTGCATCCCACTTTGATTCCTATTCTCTAAAAAGTTTAAAACAAACTGAACCACAGTATTTCTACTCAGGCAACACTGAGGGAGTCAAGTGACTCAATGGCTCAGTATAAGCTACCTGATTCCTGCTAATGCTCTTCACTCCACAGTTGTTAATGCCCCCCCTCCCCTTTTAAATGGTCTTGATGTTCCACTAATCTGCGACTGTGGCACTTATGTATACGCAGTCAGATGGGTGGCAAATTGGCTCGACGGTCGCACCCAAAGATTGGTGGTGGATGGGTCATTTTCAACCTGGAGGAATGTGGCCGGTGGAGTTCCCCCGGGCTCGGTCCTCGGGCCTGTGCTGTTCAACATCTTTATCAGCGACTTGGAGGTGGGCATGGAAAGCACGCTGTCCAAATTTGCTGATGACACAAAGATGTGGGGAGAAGTGGGAACACTGGAGGGAAGGGACAGAGTCCAACTAGATCTAGACAGGTTACAGAGGTGGGCAGATGAGAATTGAATGTAATTCACTGCAGACAAGTGCAAGGTGCTGCATCTAGGGAGAAGTAACCTGCAACATACCTATAAGCTGGAGAACATGCTTCTCAACAACACAGTGGCTGAAAGGGATCTTGGAGTCATTATTGACTCCAGGATGGACATGAGCCGCCAAAGCGAGGAAGCGGTCAGTAAGGCTAACTGCACCTTGTCATGCATCTACAGATGCATCACAAGCAGGTCCAGGGAGGTGATCCTTCCCCTGTATGCAGCACTGGTCAGGCCACACCTGGAGTACTGCATCCAGTTCTGGATGCCACACTTCAAGAGGGATGTGGCTAACCTTGAGAGGGTCCAGAGGAGGGAGACTTGCATGGTCAGGGGGCCGCAGGCCAGGCCCTACAAAGATAGGCTAAAGGGCCTGAAACTATTCAGCCTCCACAAGAGAAGACTGCGTGGGGATCTGGTGGACATCTATAAACTCACTAGGGGGACCAGCAGAGAATAGGTGAGGTTCTGTTCCCCAGGCACCACCTTGACAACAAGGAATTATGGCCACAAATTGATTGAGAGCAGGTTCAAGCTTGATATCAGGAGGCACTACTTTATGGTTAGGGCTGCCACACTCTGGAATGGGCTCCCAAGGGAGGTGGTGTTCTCTCCTTCCTTGTGGGTCTTCAAGAGGAGGTTGGACAGATATTTGGCTAGGGTATTATGATCCCAGCACTCGTTCCCACCCAGAGCAGGTGGTCAGACTTGATGATCTGTTCAGGTCCCTTCTGACCCTAGAAACTATGAAACTATAATCAAGCTATCCTTTCTTCAGCACATTTGCTGTCTGTTCTGGTCTCTCTTCTTCTATTTCATAGCTCTGAAAACAGTTTTTACCTGTTTTCAAAATTTTAGATGCGACCAGGGAGTCCAGTCTTCAGCCATAACTTTGACAATTTTTTTTTCATTCTACCTTCCCCAAACAAAGCATGTGAGGGGACGGAATGTGAGAAAATACAGTATACCAACTACAGTTTTCCTCCTTTGAAAATTTTAGTAAAACTCCTATTAACAATTGCGCAAGATCTGCAACAGCAAAAAGGCAGTATACAGCTCCAACTTTGTAGGCATAGCCCATAAACCAAAATTACAAATTTAAATCAGCCACTCTAGCAAAAAGAGGCTGAAATCCATACATTAACATTTAGAAAAGCAATTATACTACTTACACTTTCAGGGATAGTTGGCAATCCAGTTACATCAGGAGTAATGAAGTATAAATGCTGGTAAATAGAGAAAAATAATTAATATTTTTCTGAAGAAAGAGATGGAAGAGATGAGAAGAGACAAGGTCCTTTAAAGAAATAGCCAAATATTTCCAATAGTTTCCCATGTCATTATGGGACAAAGAATTAATAGAGCAGGACCTAAAATAAGAATCTGTAGTGCAACAGATCATTTTTAAAAGATTGTTTGGTAGTACTGCAATGTTACTGAAGTTACTTGAATTTCAAGATTATCCCAAAATTAAAAGTGAGATATAGAAGATTAGTTTTAGGATTGGTTATTAAGAAATTGTGACAAATAATTTCCTCCTATTACATTTTTATATAGTTTTATTTAAAATATAGTTTATATGTTTTCATTATACTTACTATTATTTTTATATATACTCACACACACACACACAAACACACTAGTATGTATAATGAAGAAAACAAACAGGCTGAAAATGGAAAAACATTACACACAAGAAAATAAGTTCATTAGGAAAGAAGACTGATGTGTGTAGACCTTCACTCACTTTCAAAACCATCTTTAACTGGAAATATTTATAATGCAGGATTCAAACTAAGACTATGTGTGCTTGCACAACAATTCATGACAGATTTGAAGGACTTTACAGAGCTTAGGTTGACCAGCATATCCTTACCAATTTTAGTCTAATCTTATAGGAGTAAAGCATTTGTCACTTTTTCTTAGTATATACATACTAAACAGTCACTGGCTATCTATTTTCCATGTATTTATTTTATGTTTATCTATTTTAAATGAAATTTTACACAAATGGCCTCTTAATTATGATAAAAAATAATTATTTTAAATGTATTATGCACATATTGTGCTTTTTATGTTTTAACAAATTTAGAATGGATTTCTAATCACGCTTAGAAGAGATAAATAAGTATATGATGAAGTATGTAAACTTTTAAATGTAGCCAATTTTTAAACAATATTATCTATTTGTGTTACGTTATGTGAGAAGCTTTCTGACCATCTTGATGCACTTAAAAGAACGTTTTCTCCACAACAGTAATTAATTAATCGGCACAAGTTAAAAAGCTCAAAGATTAGCTATAAAAAATACATTACGTAGACATTGCACTATTTGCATAATAAATAATCCAAGATACCAATTTGCGTTAACACAGCAATGAAGGACAAAGAAAAACAATTTTTTTTTTTTTTTTTTTTTTTTTAAGTTTTCAAACAAAAAAAAAAACCCAAAAAACCAAATTTCGTTAAAACAAAAAAAAAGGGAAAAAAAAAAAAATTTTTTTTTTTTTTTTTTTTTTTTTTTACAGTTGTCAAGACAAGAAACACATCCAGATCAATGCGAAAACCTTAATTTTCTGTTTACAGTATTCTTCCAGTAAAAATACAGTTAATTTGTCCACAGAATATAATTCTAAATAGATTCTGTGCAATGGTAATTTAATAAATATTGCAAATTATCTCATGTTCTATAACAGAAATAATATTCAGTTCTACTAACAGAACATCAGGTATATACTATGAGAAGCCATCATGCTTTACTGTTAGTGGCTCATGAAATGAACAAATGCTGCCTATTATAATGTAACTGCTACTTAAAAAATGGCAGCAATAATAAGTGTAGGTGATTCTTGCTCAGTCCAATTTTAACCATTATTTTCTATTGGATTGTAATTCACACATACTGTAATTCTGAAATTAAGTTTAGTAAACAGAAAATACATTAATATAACATTGCGTGTTTTAGACTAAAAAGCCACAGCATAATCATTTCCCAAAGGACAGATATAAATAGCCTGAAATCAACAAAGATATCAGATGGCAAGTAATTATTTATTTCATCAGAGCAGGTTTTAAGTAGCCAGTGCCTTTCAAACTCACCGATACTAGGTAAGGCTGTTTTTTCAGAACTTGTTCACTTGCAAAAAACATCTCTTGGTTCTTATGCAACATGAGAGAAAGATTTAAGAGTTCATTTTTAAACCAAAATACTAAATCTCACCAACAAAATTTAATCTCTGAAATCCTTGCCTGAATTCCTTCTGATGTGTAATATTTTTAGAACAATAGAAATTCTGTCTTAATCAGTAAAATTCCCGCATCTGATATTTTATACAACAACGTAACTTTTATCAGTTGGATAAAAATATTTCAATGGAGAATGCACCATTTTGTGAATAAAATGGGCAAAGGAATGAATGTGCTATTGTAAGTGCAAAAGGATGAGAAAACAAAGGCTAGGTACAGACATTCAAAAAGCCTGAGGCGGAATTGATCTAAGTTACGCGGTTTTCCTTAAGCAGCATAGTTTAGATCAGTAGCCAACAGAGCATGCATTTGCCCTTGGGGGGGCGGGATAACTTAGACTGGGTTCTGCGATTTTTTAACCAGTCTACATGTGCCAACTTCAGTTCTTTTACAGGTATGAACTGGTTTTGTGTGCTAAACTTCTGTTTTGTTATGGATACAGACCAATTTCCGATCACTTCTACTAGTAAAAGTGCAATGTTCTGTACCTAGCCAAAGTGAAATATACATTTTGTTTGTTGACAGAGTTATAGAAGATATATACATTGTATACTATAGAAAAAAGTTTGCACAGGAGTTAGAATTCAATTTTTGAACAATTAATGACTATACCCCACTCATGACAGAATGATTTACATCAGTTATTTTTGGATGGCTGCTCTGATTCCAACTTCTTAGCATCAAGGTATTCACACTATGACATAAAAGCATAAGGGTGTGTTTGAAACTCGGGTATCATAATGGGGTCACAGGTGTCAGTCACCCCAATACAGCTCAGTTTAAGATGGTAGCTGTATTAAATGATCCAAACACTCAGAGGTACGTTTAAGGGAAAGGTCAGGTTTAAGTGTGGGTACAGTCATCCATATACCTGTTCCTAGCGCATAATCAAACCACAAATGGCTGACTTCTGATAAAAGGGAACTGCTACTACATTTTAGTCTTGTTAGTCTTTCAGGGCAAAACATTTTAAAGCGAGTGATCTGAGCTACATTCTATCTCTATTATCATGAAAAAATAGTTAACTATAGTAAAGTATCATTTGTAGAAACTTTACCATTGATGTGCAAGACTGGAAGAACATAGCTTGGTGTTCAGGTGCCTGAAGCTGACAGAAAAAACAGGCTTTTACTAATTTACTAAAAGATAGGCACCAACTAATTTGATCCGGATCCACTTGGGGACATTAAACATCAAATTCCATACTGCTGTTTTTAGAGTAGCTTACCACAATATAATTTAATTTCAAATTTATCAGCATCCAAAGTTTAAGACTTACAAAATTTATGATATATGAGGGACTAAAAAAGGATGTGACATCTATTTACAAAGTTAGATCAGAATGTGACAAAAACAGTTCCCAAATTCCTGCAGCCGTGACCTTTATCAATGCCTACACACCTCTATCAAGTTCAGTAACAACTTTTTACCCAGCATAGTTGAATATGTCCATTTGTTTATTTACTATAGCTCCTACCAATCTGGTCCCACGCCACTTGCTTTGCCTTTGGCAATGGGCCTGCATTTTTATAAGCAGTTTTCATTTAAATGGTTTCCAAAATCCTTTGAATTATTTAGCAAACTACAGAGATGCAGACACATTTGGAAACATCAACATTTGAAAATCTTACAATGCCAAGGCAAAGCTAGGGAGACTCGAGCTGGATGACAGAAGCTTAACTTCATAGTCAGCACTGTGTCATTTGAGTGTTCTTAGCTGTTGTCCAACAGAGCAAATAGCCTAATGTAGGCAAGCCCTCTCAAGTGAAATGAACAACTGTATGTGAAGCACTTCACAAGTGGTTAAGATAGGAAGTGAAGAAGCTTTCTATTAGGGCTGTGCAAAGCTTCAGTCCCTGATTTGATGTGGTGGAGATTTGGCCCAATTCGGTGGCCATATCTCCGAAACTGAATCGAATCAGAGGACCCTTTAATCTCTCCAAATCGAAACAGAAACCTCCAAATCAATTTGGAGAGATTTGGAAAGATTTGGCGATTTGCATATAGACACAGCTTTAAATGTTTTGTCTACATATCTCTAGGTAGCAGGCGGCTCGTGACTACTGCGATGCTGGGGCGCATGGAGCATCCCACAGAAGCATCCCCCCCCACCCATGCTCCCTGGCAGACCCAGAAGTGGACTGCAAGTTTTTCCAGCATAACAGTGTTCACAAGCCGCGCTGGTACCTCAAGGTATGTAGAACAGACATTTAAAGCTGTGTCTATGTCTGAAATACTGATTCTCCGAATCAGCATCGAATCTTCAGATTTGGGTTCAGCCAAATTGAATCAAGGGCAGCGATCCAAATCAACGAATCAAATCAGTGTCCCCGACTCGGGTCGAATCCGAATCTGAATTGAATAGGGCCCACTTCACCCACCCCTACTTTCTAGTACTCCTGTTACTTTAAGGAGAGACATTGGCAGACCAAGCTTGCTGCAAGGGTCCATCAGCTGGGCAAAGGCAAACTGCTGGAGAAAAAGCAGGCCAGATAAAATAGGGATAGGAGCTGCCCCTGGAGTGTTATTATCCAGGAGCTAGCTGCCCTACACTAAGCAGCTAAGGGGGCAGAAATGTTTGCAGCCCAGAAGCACTGTACGCAGTTGAGCTAAGCCAGCGGAGAAGGGAAGCCTGGTCACCAGGCCAAAATGGAACCTCATGTGAATGGCTGGAGAACCATCCGACAGGTAAGGGTTCTGGAGGCACATAAACCCAGTGCCTGAAACCCGACAGTCAGTCTGGCCCTGCAGGCAGCAGGTAGAGGAGCTCCTGAAGGAGATGGCTGCAAGAATTGACTGGCTGATACCCGGGCTGTCTCAGAAGACTGCAAGGAAAGAACTAAGGGGGACTCAGAGCTTTCAGGAAAGTAATGACCCAGTGTTGGAAGGATTTCTGTTGTACAACCGTTTTGCTTGTGTTTATATTCTGATTAAGCTAACTGGAGGATTAGGCTGTGGCTACAGGGAAGGTGTGGAGGCCACAGGGGGGTGATGGGTGGGGCATTCACTGTTAGGCAGCCTGGGGTCAGGAACCCAGATGGCTGTGGGCTGGTGTAGGCCAAGGCTGGGAGAGTCAAGGCCAACAGAAGTGGCCTAGCCAAGGGGTCAGGGACCCACAGGGCTGAGGCTAGTGTAATGAATTACCCTGAAGCTGGGAGAGCTAAAGCCAGTGCCAGGCAGCCTATCCTGGGGTCAGGGACCTAGTGGGTTGAGGGCTGCAGCACTGAAAGCAATCTGGCCCAGGGTTCAGGACCCAGAGGAGGGCTGGGAGTAAGCCTAAGAAGCCTGGCCTGGAGTCAATGACCCTGGAGTCAGGGACCTGGCCTGGCATCAACTGTGGGGAACCAGGCCAAAGCCTGGAGGATTAAGGCCATAGCAGTGGGATGGAAACCATACCAGGTTTCAGCTGCATGGACTGAAAGGAGTGCAAGCTAAACTGGGGTGGGCCCAGAGAAAGGAAGAGCCTTGCCAGGACAAGGACCATAGCAGGCTGACTGGAGCATCTGATGGGTGGGACAGAGGGCTCGGTGGACAACTTAAAGGAACACCTGCAAGGTATGGACATGGCTACAGGGGCAGAAGGAGGCCACAAATAGTCCATTGGGCAACTGGTGCCCTGAGGCACGAACAGGGCCATGCGAACCCTAGCATAGTGTCCAAAGGACAAGGCAGAGCTAGACTCGGCTTGCTCTGGGGCCCCTGGGGCAGCCTCCTAAAACCTTATAAATAACACCAAAGCGTGACAGGCAAGGTAGAAAGAGAAGATACTCCAAGAAGCTAGAGTGAAGGCATGGGTCTAGTGGTAGAAGTATTAAGGAATATTCTTGCCACTTAATACAACGGTCCCATGCCGATTTTGGCTAGGACTTTTTAGTTAAGAATACTCCTGTAATACTACTCTTGCAAAAGTATTAACTAGTATTTTATTTCAGCAATGTTCCACTTACAGGTGATTGCTGAAAAATAAATAAAATTGTTATTTTGAAGATGCTAAAAAAAAATGGGAGTGTAGAAGGGGGAAAGAAGTACCATGGCCACAAAAAATATTCATGAATTGGAAAAAGTGCTTCACAATGAGAGACCTAAAGAACTCCATCTGTTTAGCTTATCAAAAAAAAGATTGGAGAAGTGACTTGAATACAGTGTATTAGTATCTTCAAAGAAAGAATATACCAGCACTCTTTACCTAGTGGAAATGGCATAACCAGGACCAATGGCTAGAAGCTGAAATTATTCAAATTCAAATTAGAAACCAGGGACAACTTTTTAGCAGTGATTAATCACTGGAACAAACTACCAAGGGAAATAGTGGAATCTTCATCTTACGTCTCCAAATCAATGCTAGATACCTTTCTGGAAGATATGCCTTAAAAGGTTAAACCACATTAAGTAATGGGGCTCAAAACAGGGTAAATGGGTTAAAATTAATGGCCAGTGATATAGAGAAAAGTCAGGCTGTATAATCTAATGGTCCCTTGTGGCCTTAAACACTATGAGCGTATGTAACTTGCGCATACCCACTTTTTACTGTTTCTGTCCTGCTAATTATGATATTTCACTAGGGAAACAATTATTTGCAAGCAGCAAAACCACCATGGATTTGTGATCACTTTGTTTCACGTGTGCCAGTACCACACATGTGAGCAGAAAGGTGCTCAGCTCTAACAACACTATCTGAGTTAGCTGCTGCAAAGCCAGAAAAGCAAGCAAAGAATACATGTTTATGCAGGCTACAGCAAACCAGAATTTGTTTAACTTCAAGTATGGAGTGGTATAATCAGAAAAGGAGGGGAAACCCCCCCCCCCCACACACACATAAGATTGAGAATCTAGATAAAGCCAAACTACTAGATTCTAATCATTTTAAGGGTCATTCATGACTTGAGTCAGACTACTTGAAAATATTACTCCACATTACAGTACTAATACACATCTGAAATACCATGTATTATATGCTGAAATATTATTTTGCAATAATTTTACCAAAAGAATTGAGAAATGTATTCATATATTAACCTTCTCATATTTGACATAATCCTTGGCCTTCCTAGCTAACATGCATATATTTAATTTTTGTTGAAAAACTCATATTCATTCAGAAAGTATATTAACCATGAAAGGTAACCTCAGGGTGTTTGTTGCATCTGATAAACAAATTCACTGCTAACAATACGGGATATATTTAACATTTTGATTTTCTTGTGCAAGCCATATTTTGCCACATGTTCAGGACTCAACCCTGCATCATGGAAAGAAAATCCAGCATGCACAAAAGTAATGTGGTTAGGGACTTGCTCATTGGTCAGCACCTGATGAAATCCTGAAACAAAGCAGCAAAGCTACTCCTGTACTTCTTTCTTGCACAAGAGGCGAAAGAGCACTGGCAGACGAGAGAGACCAAGCGTAGACTTGTTCATGTAAAATTCTGTACCTCTTCATACTCAGGGCACGAACAGGTACTCCTGATCAACACCAGGAGCTACTCATGTTACTCAACTTAAGCAGCTAGCACTGCAATAGAGAGAAAGCAATATTGCCAGATACTATGGTATTTATCTCTCACCCAGACAGCAAATCTCAATTTCTGCTAGTTTAGAATTAGGGTTCTAAGCTAGCAACAGTGCAATATCCACACACACAATTTCTACATAGTTATTAGTAAATAAGTTATTGCAAGCCATTTAAAAAGCAGCAGCAAAAGAACCAGACATTTATAACCAAGTACAAAAGCCTAGGTTCTGCCTGGGTTTACTGACCACAACAACTGCTAAAAAGCTTTATGGTAGAGAGATGTTATACATGCTACTTACCACATTTAAACTGACAGGAGTATTTGCACTTGGCACAGCGTGGTTATATAATGATTTTAACAAATCATTTAAATCATTTTCCTATGGGAAATATTAAAAAAGTACTTCATCATATACAAATAACATAAATTAATTTTAATAATGATTTTACACTTAATCACACAGATAACTATATATTATAACACAGCAGATAAATGTTAAGGCATAGACCCACTCTACCTTTATGCCTACAGAACACACACATTTTGCAAGTTCTAAAAACAGTTGTTTCACATTCATGTTCTTTGTCTACATTCCCCGTGTTATGCTTGTAGTTTAACAATGTTACTCAAACCTCTGTAAAACGGCATTAATAAGGCTGCTGAGCCATATTAGTAGTAGTTTAGTAGAGCATAGAACAAAGCTACTGACCTAAGCTGGCATAATATTGTCTCTCTGAAACGGGGCTATTCTGTCTCTCACAGGCAAGATTCCCTATTCATACCTGTGTTCTTGAGTTGTCTGGATGCTCCTTCATCTCGTCTCTATGTGCAGCAGGGCTACCACAAAATGCATTTCCACAAATGTTGTTGGGTGGCACAGTATGTGCATATTCTTTGGGGACTCTAAACCTCACTGAACTGCTAGGCTATGGCTCCTCCTAATTCCCCAGAATGCTTTGATACTACCATGACCAAATACTGTGATAGATGCGAATGCCAGGTGAATAAAGCTGTACATCCAACTCAAATGTCTCTGTTGTTACAGGATCTGATCATGGTGCCATGACCTGGTTTCAGAAACAGAACTGTACCTACAAGGATGTTCTGAAATTAAAAAATGGTCTTATTTGACTGGGAAAAGCACAATATCTTGAAATATTTTTAAAGTAATTTGACCAAAGATGATCAGTTTTGCATGGAGAAAGAGTTAAATATCAGTAGCTCCATGTATTCAGCATTCCTACAAACTAGCTGACACCTTGCTGTGAAAGCTTGGGTAGATTTACTGGGATCTTGAATTAGTCAACACAGCTTTTGGTTTAGGTCCTAATTCAGATACCATAGTTACCCAAATCCAAGATGTCTCCAGAGACTATACCTCCAACAGTTAGATTCTACACATAGAAAATTAGAACTAATTTATTAAAATTAGTTCTAATTTTCCATGTACAGAATCTTAGTGGAAGGTTGTCTTAAATTCACCCCCACCTCCACCCACCCCATCCCTTCTGCCCCTACCCCTTTCCCCCACTGTGCCTGCTACCTGCCATGTGTCCCCCACCACATACCTCCTGCCCTTTGTGTTTGTGCCTGCCCTCTGAGCCTTACCCTCCATGTTTCTGCCGGGCCCTGCAACTCCCTGCCTCTCATATGCCTGTTCTCTCCTGCAGTCTATCTTCTACCCCTTGCCCTTCTGCAGCCTGCCTCCCACCCCCTGCTTACCCCACTTATGGCAAACACCCCCTCCCTTCCCTTCTGCTGCAGCTCTATGCTCCAGAGCACTCAACAGCAGTAGAGCCGTGGCCTAGCCAGGGAGAAGCAGCAGAAGCTCCCAGCCATACTGGGCTGGGTTGGGGCTGGAGGGACCAGAGCTGGCGAAAAATGTAAGCTGGCATAGGCACAGGGGGCAAGGGGTGGGGGAACAGGCTGTGGTCTCCTGCACACTTCTCCTGGCTGTGTGCTCCTCCCTCACCAAACAAGTTGCTCTGGCCCAGGGAAGGTGGTGGCTCAACTCAGGCTTCAAGCTCTGAGCCCAGGGCCAAAGCTGGAACTAAGCCACCATCTACCCTGGGTCAGTATGTGAATCCAAGATGGGGCAGTTCCCGCTCCCCATAACCTCCCAAGCTGATTGGGAGGATGGGAAACCTCATCTTAGATTTGGGTAAATATGGCACTATCTTTGACTGGGTAAGTGAATCACAAGCTCCCTGATAATTATATCAGGGTAACAGGTATGTGAAGACTTTCACATCTCTCAATGCAGTTAAATGTTGGATTTATACACTAATATATAATACACTAGGATTACAGAACAGACAGACACATAGATGCGCTGTGATGGTAAGGGCTATATTACAGCACTTTGTCAATACAGTGGCAGGGAGCAAGTAACAGCCTGGTAGAATTTAAGAAATGACTACTCTAGGATGGAAATGGACAGATACAGCTAAACTGGTGTAACTTATACAAGCACAGTACTACTTCAGAGACAGAAGACTAGATAGTACACTAAACAAAATACTTCCCCTTCTTACAATGCTAGAACTTCAGCCTCATTAAGATTCAGACTTCTTGATTTATACTACTATAAAGTTGCAGCTTTGTTGGCTATTTAAAAAAAAGGAATTTATTTGTTAGTGTGAAGGAGCACTCAGAAAGAGAAAAAGGTAAAAACAGCCAGTGCCCTGTGTAAGCCCCCAAAAACCCTTGCTATTTACAGTGAACTGTATAGGACTAAAATAAAACAAAGTTTAAAATATTTGACTGTTCTATCTTGAAATAAGACTTCAATGTACCTTATATTGTTTTAAGTTGCCCAACTCCACTACTGTGTTTTATTATAACTTTATAACACTGATAAAATATTGTAAATTACTTTCCTCAGCTTATTTATGCTTATATGTTTTTCCTATTACAGTAGTTCATAACTTCTTGAAATGCCAAGTTACAGAAGCCTTACAGCATATGGTTAACTACTGATCCTTTTTTCCTCTTTTAAAATAAGTATCTAGAACACCAACATACTTCAAACAAGAAGATAGAGCTTTAATGCTCTTAATAAAGACAGATGCCAATACTGCTTCTCCTGCATAATCCTGGGATATATCTAATTGCTTATGAATATGCAAACTAAACTACCATGGTCTTCCCTGAACACTGCAAGCAATTTTCCCCTTCTAGTCGAGATGACAGTATTATGAAAAGCAGTTTTTAGTTAGTATGAAGGTCTAAATAGTACATCAAATCTAATGCAGTTCAGAAAAAAGTGCATGGATCAGATAACCCTAAATCTCTGGAACTATCTGGTTAACAAATAAGATGTCATATAGTTCTCCAGTGATGCGACACTGTTCATATTTAACTGAGGATTTGTTTATACAAGGACTATGTCACTTTGCAGCAGTGTATTCTCAGCAGCTTTTGAAAATTAATACATGACATTCAAGAGATAGTGGAGGAAATATAACCCAATCCTCCCCTCCCCCCTTCTTTTTAATTCCACTGGGATAAATGTCAAATTTGCTGACCACTTGACAAAATTATAAAATTACAAAGATTTTTTTTCTTCTGCAAATTACATGTATTATTTAAACATGAAGACAATAAAAAGACAGTTTTGCAAGAATTAAAAACATTCTTCTTAGTCAAAGCAAGCAAACATCTAAAATTACCTGTTCTTTATCCAAATAATCTGCCAGAGTATTTAACAGCTTGTAGTATACCTCAAACCATGGCAGGTAACTAAAATAAAATAAAATATATTTATTGATTAAATATAATAAGTAAATGAGTGCCTTTTTTCCACTGCACATATAGTGCTTACCACAGATTAACTACTCGCACTTCCAGCATACCCATCCCAAGAAAATGCTTACTGATACATTTTATTTATGCCTGCATTTAAATACATATCGAGAATATTAAGCTCTAGAGTACATAATTGCCAGACTGACATAATTGCATTTCTTAAAATTGTAACTATTAAATATCCCTATGTTTGCAAAATGTTTAATTCAGCTATATTTATTATAAACGGCTGTTTTAGCACTTGATAGGAAAAATGCAATAGGTATGTCGTGTCATGTAAAAAATGTCATGTAAGACAGAAAGCAACAGAAAGGTCCATGTAAGTGAAGAATAACCTCATAAAACAACAAGATTTTTAAAACATTTTAAACTGAGAGCATTAAGCACCTAATATTTATGATAAAATATCAAATTTTATCTTCTAATCTATCTTCCACTAACTTATGGAGCAATTTATTAAAAACAATAATAGCATTGTACAACAGGAATGAAATAGCATCTGATGTTACTGCCTACACAGCATACTGCTAAATGGTAGAAGTCTAAGAAAAAAGGTTATTATCCCTGCAATAAATAATATAGTGCTGTGAAGCATTTAAGTGGTGCTAAATGGACTTAAATTGCATTTAATATGCATTTATGAGTTTATGCATTTGAAAACCATAAACTAATTTTTTTTGTTGTAAAAAACAAAAAGATTTGCATCAAATGTACACTTTATAGGGGAGGCATGTCAAACATGCAGCTCACAGGATGGATCCGGCCCATGGACCCATTCCATCTGGCTCACTGGACTACAGGAAGTTGGGAGCATGGCCTAACACAGAATTTGGGGCCCGCTGGACATGGCCCTCAGCAGCAAGAGGGCAAGTGAGGACTGTGCTGATAAAACTCTGTTCACCCTGCAGCCACTTGGCCCACTGCCTTGCTGTCTCTGTTCTCCTCCCTCCTCCCCCACTGCTGCTGCATTTTACTCCTACTTTTGCAGAAATGGGCTCTCTCCAATACTCCTAATGATGGACACTGATGCTTTTAAAATAAAAGAATACATCATGTTTCAAGCATGTTTTATATTTAATAAATCTTAAAAGAGTTCTTAAACAATACCAAGGTAATAAATGACATACTTATCAACTTCCACTTGCCATTTTTCTTCTACCAGTGTTTTATCACAAATACAACAGTACACAAAAATGAATTCTACCATACCATAAATTACACAGCAGTTTAAAATATTTTTGGAAGGAATTATTTTTAGTTTGCATTATAATTTTACTAATGAAATAACTGTATGTGCTTTTATCACATCTAAGACCACAATCTACATTGTACAGAATGCTATTAATGTAGCATTTCATAGCATATTTTTAATGATCCAAAGCACATCTTGGTTCCAGTTGTGATTTATAAGCGAAGTATAAGTGTCAGAGATTGTTATAATAGCTGCTTCTCAATTGCTAATGGAAACTTCCAGATGCAGTCTTTTCCTAAATGTTTTTTTTTCTGATGGGAGAGGGAATCTTGTTAAGAGAGACCTTCCATGGTGTATAGAAGCTAAGTCTCAGTCTTGTCCAATTTGTGGAATGGTTACATTTTTTGGATAACAGCTTAGTTGCTAAAGCCAAGGAAGAGACAGCTAGACAAGCCGCAGGAAGAGTCACCAGTTCTAACTCTTGCTCTTTTCTCTAAGAGAAACTTAATTTATTATTTTAGTGAGGAACACAGTGATTGTTTACATAACAAATTAATTTCAGTTTGCTATTCTTATAGCAGCTTCACTGTTGGCTCTTAAAGAAATTCCTCCTCTTGCTGCTGTTCTTTCAAGCCTAACTGAAACATTTTTAGTTCATAAGAAACAGTCTTAGTTCATTCGGGTATGACCTAATACAAATGTTAAAATATCAAACTTTGTCTTCTGATCTATTTTCTACTACCTTATAGAACACTTCATTAAAAATAATAATAGCAGTGTATGAAAGAAATGAAATGGCATCTGATGTTACTGCCTACACAGCATACTGTTAAATAGTAACAGAACTCCAAGAAATAGGTTATTATCCCGCTGAATAAATAATATGTTGCTCTGACGCATTTGCAGCTCTATAAGGTAAGTCTAAAAAACTTCTGCTTGGTGGACTTTCAACTGTAGCAGATGCAGAGAAGAAAGGACATACTCTATGCCAAAGAGAGGAGGAAAAACATATAAAATTTTTCATTTATTTAAATATAACTTCATATTTACTTCCATAGAAGGGCATAAGAAACACTTACGAAGGAGTAAATTAAAGACATTTTCTTTGAGAATTAGAAAGAGACAGTCATTCCATGTCAAATGAGTTGGATGGAGAAATGAACCAAATCAGAGGAGGAAAACAAAGGAACACATAGAGCACCCATACCTAAACTTATACAAGATGATCAGGCATAATTCATAGCACAGGTAATATATAGCCCTTTTTTTCCTTTATAAAAGGCAAGTAACGATATTTTACAGCCATCTTTGGGGTGGAAAAAAGTGGCTGTGGAGGGGATGAGAAGACTGCAACAAGCTGAGGAAAATTTTTTTGCCAACAATACTGGAAAAAGAAAGCCATTAATCTTTAGGCTCCAAGGAGGACAAAAAGAACAACCAATTCAACACTTACTGCAAAATAAAGTTATGTGTAAAAGAAGTGTGGTGTTCAATTTATCTATCCCAGAAATACTACATACATATCATCTAATTTTAATTGTTGTATTTTGCAAATCTAACTTTTATGAAACAATTTCCAAAAAGTGGTTCATTAATTGGAAAAGTTTCATAAGCTTAGAGTGTGTACAAGCGTTATGTTTGGATTTCCCTAACTAAGCTTAGGGAGAGCTAAATGGCTGTGTGCACAAGTGATCACAGGGCTTAGGTCACCCTGAACTAGACAAGAATTAACTTTAGATCAACTAAGTTCTTGTTCTTCTTAGACAAGAACTAACTTTAGGGCTAGGGACGCACACTCAAAAAGCCTGAGCCTGAATTGATTAAATATTTGTACGTTAGTCAAACCTGGCTAGGCTAAACCAGCTTGTAACCAAACAGACATCCCCTCTGGACAGAAGAAATGCAGGCACATGCCTGCAGTGGCTCAGGCTAGAAGCCAGGGGGCATTAGAGCAGCCCTCCCTTCCTTTCCAGAGTGCTGAATTGAGGGGGGGCGTGGCCAGGCCCCGGCAAGATGTTCCGATTAGGGAGGGGCCCCCTTCCTCCCTTGCTCTTGATAACACAGCAATTGAGTTACACAGCAGGGAGTTACACAGGGAGTTGTTTTGTTTGATGAGCTGACAAATGCTAACAACAACCTCTCTCATTAGCTCAAGTTCTTCTTAAACAACTTTTTCCAAGGAAGGAACAGAGGGACATTACCAGTTACCTCTTGATTAGCTACAAAAAGCCCATAGCCAGCACTGCCCTGTCTCCCTTTGTCCAGTCTCCCATAGCACAGACTGTAGCCAGCATGTGGTATAGTTTCACAGTTTCTAGAGTCGGAAGGGACCTGAACAGATCATCAAGTCCAACCCCCTGCCCTGGACAGGAACACATGCTGGGATCATAATATCCCAGCCAGATATCTATCCAACCTCCTCTTGAAGACCCCCAAGGTAGGGGAGAACACCACCTCCCTTGGGAGCCCATTCCAGAGCCTGGCAGCCCTAACCGTAAAGTAGTGCCTCCTGATATCAAGCCTGAACCTACTCTCAATCAGTTTGTGGCCATTATTCCTTGTTATCCTAGGTGGTGCCCAAGGGAACATAGCTTCACCTATTTTCTGCTGGTCCCCCCTGGTGAGTTTCTAGACGGCCACCAGATCCCAGGCCACCAGTATGTTAGCTAATGCTGAGAGGCATCTGTGTAAGGCAGAAGAGAGGGGGAAATCCCTGCTTGAACAGGGAGTGGCGGGGGGGGGGGGGCAGGAGCAGGAGTAAGCCAGGCAGATGCCCTGCACTCTCTGCCACAGCTACAGCCAGGGAGCAAAGGGGAGGAGCCAGCTCTCCTGGGCTGGAGCAGAGCCCCACTCAGAGCTGCAAAGCAACAGGGATGTTGGAAGACTCTGATTTAACTTAAACCAGGAAGAGGTCTAGGACAAACATTGCAAAAATTGCTTTGACCCAAATCACTTAAGTCTGATACTACATTCAACCAGGTTTATCTTAAACCTTTTTCAGCTATTTTCAAGCTGGTTGATGTGCACTGAACATCTGCTCTGTTACAGGTTTAAACAAGTTTCTCATCACTTAAACCAGTTTATGTGTAATGTCTGTCCCTAGTCCAGATCAGCATGGGTTAACCAGTTCTAATAAACTCACACACATCTTCCCAGCACAGCTCTAGGGTTGGGAAAGCCCAGTTACTCTCCACAGCCTCGAGACTCAGCTGTTCCTCCCTATCCCCACCCAACCAGGATATTTCAGCAGCCCCTGACTAGTCCCCCCTGCCTCCAAACCAGGTAGCCTCCCCTGCAGACCCATCTCCTTCCAGATCTACCAGTCCCTGGACATAAAGTAAACCACCTAAGCCTGAGCCAGGTCCTGCAAACACCTGTTCACAGCCATAGGATGCAAAAGTAAACATTATTTTGTAAACTCTCTCATTCAAAGAACTTTAAAGTGTGGGTGCCAAAGTTCAACTCTGACATATGCCAAAGTCAGCAAAGTCAAGGCTTTAAAATTTGCACAATTTTTTAAAAAACTGGACTAGACTGTAAAGTCAGGTTTTTTTTTAACAATAATTCAATCTCTGATGGGTATATATATACTGCATCTTTAAAAAGTCAAAATTTGGAACTATTTGGCCATACTATTTGTTGTATGACAGTATGCTTATGAAAACAGAAGGCACAACGTTAAAATCTTTTGTTATTTCACTGTAGTCAAAACAGCTCATTGCAGCCAAAGAGTCTTCAGGAA